TTTTTTTTACGTTCGAGTGATAGATTGGAACTTTTGTTTGTTTGATTATTCTTCTAAATTTTGTTAGATTTTTTTATTTATTTCCAATCTTTTTTTCACGATGTTGGATGCTAAAAAGTATTCGTCAAAATTGTCAAATTGAAAGGAAAAATACCGAGAAGAAGAAAAAACACAGAAAAAGAAAGAAAAGGTACAAAGATTCAATTGATTATAATTGTAAATTAAGTTGATATTTTTATTTTTACTATTTTTTCTTTTTTTTTTCTATGTTAATAGTACAAATTTTGCTGCAGTGATATTGTAATTAAAATTTTATATTATTGGAATATTGATTTAACCGTTAAATTATAAAAGAAAAAATTGTTATCATGTGTATAAATAATTATATATATTTTTTTCATATTACAATAGATTATCCATTTTTTTTTGTAAATTATAAATTGATAGTTTAAATATTTCTTTCGTTGTATTAAAATATAAAATTTTATTTTCTACCAAATTTAATTTATATTATATATTTTATTAAAATAAAATAGTATTTAAACTATTTAAATACATATTTTATTTTTTTAATTATATAGTATATTAATTTTTATTTTAGAAACACTAATATCATCAAAAAAAAATGCAGTCCCATGTTATAATAAAAAAAATATAATATTTTTTTAGTAATTATCAATGATATAATATTTATATTTTATATTCATTTACAATCATAGTATTATATATATTATATTTTAGTAAGTATAATTTTGTTTTTACACAATTTAATTTATATTGCATATTTTATTTCAAATATATAAAACAAATCATAATTTTTATTATTAAATATTTATTGGAATTTTTAAAATTTATTTTAAATAATATTATTTTTCTTAAAAAAAATATTTCTTTGTTATTTATTTTATTATTACTATTTTATTATAAAATATTATGATTTTTAAACTTATTAAAATATTTGAAAATAAATATAAAATTAATAAAAAAATTTTATAATAATATATTTTGAAATAAATAATATGAAATAATTTTTTTCATTAATGGCACCGTGCGTAGCACGGGTCTTCCCGCTAGTATGTATATATAAGATGTTAGATTGTGAGCAAAGCAATACACATTGAGTGTGATGTGTCAAGTTGTATGCAAGCCAAGTGTCACATTAAGGGAAAAAAAAAAAACAGTATAGTGAGTAGAATGTGCAATGCAATTCAAGAGCCGTTACAATAGTGCAAGAACTATTTGATAGGAAAAAAATAATTACAAATAACTGTCCCTAAGGGATGATTTGGTTGTGTAGGAGTGAGTTTGTGAACTCTGTTCAAACCCTGAAAGCCTTTCGTTCATCTGTCACACATGGTTCACCTAATATTAAGTAATACCATTGTAGTTCAACGATGGATTAGGATTGGATTTATATAGTGTGTGATTTTTGAATATTTATTAAATTTGTATTGGTTATTGTACTTGCATAGTTACTGAATTTATCATTGATATATGCGATATTAGACAAATATTTTGCTATATTTTAGACGGTTTTTTGATGCGAATTTTGTATATATGCTCTTAATGATGTGTTTTTGAACTTTCTATTAGGCGTTGAGGAGTTGGCAAATTTTGGGCATATTGGAGAGAAAAGCAGAACGCAAGAAGTCCTTAAGCGTGATCACGAAGCAGAAAAAAATGAAAATTTCAAAAAGGTCCTCCGGAGTTAATTAGCAATTTTAGAATTGTTTGGTTTAAAGTGCAAAGGGGATCTTGGGATGGACTTGAAGAGACACGATTTTTTTAATTGAAGAGGAGAAGAGAAGGGGACTACACGTTCTCTACCACGATCTCACTTACAACCTATTTCTAAAAGAGAAGAGAAGGAAGGAGAACACTACGTACGGGAACTTTGGAGAGCAACGCAGAAGAACTTTCGGGCACCCTTTTTCTTCATTTCTAGAATTGGTTTGTTGTCGATTTTTAAACTTGAAGGCATGATGAACTCTTTGATTTATTTTATATTTTTAATTGCTATGGATTGCGAGTAGTTTCATTTCTAGTGTAGGTATGAATTGATTTTCGGGATTGAAATTGTGAGACTTGGTTTCGACTAAAATTGGTGTTCATCGATGTTGGGTATTTTTAATTCTTCAAATTGATAAGTTTAGAAATCTTGAATTGATTATTGCGCACATATCAATTTAGGATTTCATAGCTATATTGGGGATTGGCATACGTAATTGTGTAGCAACCCAGAGAAGAACACTCTAGGGGAAGAATTAAGATCAATTTTAGACAAATCCTCGTAGGAGCTTGTTAAATTGAATTGGGCCTTTCTAGTTTTTACTGCTGTTGAGTTAGAAAACTACGGTCGTACCTAGGATTCTTTCTTGATTAGAGAAATAGCTAACGGTCGTGCCTTAGCTATCGAAAAAGTAAGGAAATGTTGGTTGTGAACGCGTGTAGATCAACTTTAACCAATTTATCCAACTAGTCGATGAATTTGACTTTTAGTCGATGATCAAATTTCATATCCCGAATGAAAAATTCATGCCTATGCTAGAGTCTAATCATCTTTGGTAATCTGCCGTGCATTTTATTTTATTTTATTTAGTTGAGCGAATTTATTTTCTTTTATTTTAGTATGATAAATTCAACCCCCCCCCCCATTATATATAGTATAATTTTAGATAACCGAATATTCAATATTATTATTGTTCCCTGCGGAGACGACCCTACTCACCGAACTACTGCATTTTGCAAGTTTTTGTGGTGTAGAAACTGATACTTTATTTTGCAGTTTTGACGATGCTAGCAATCATTTATAATTATTGAGTTGAATGAGTATTTTGAATTCAATATTTTATTTATTGCAATAGCTGAATGTCAATTCAAATGAGTGTTTGTATTGTATTTTTATTTAAATGGATGACCCAAATTAAGTAGTTACTTTTCATGAATTATACAATCAATTTTTAAGTACTCCTTGTAGGTAATAATTATTCAAACTAGATTTTTTAAAATCATAATACAATTAGGCAATTTAATTTCTACGGTCATACATAGGATTATTAGTCTTATTAAGGACAATTAACGGTGGGATCTTAATTGTCTACTCGGTAAGAAAAAATTGAACATCGGAGCTTGTTGATGTCTATAACTACTTTATTAATCATTATGAAAATTATTTAGTTAAATCAATTATCCATTGCAAATCTCATTCCGAGATGACTATTCAGATTAGGTTTTCACTAACATAAGTTCCTCTTTTGTCAATTGCATCTTGATTTTTAGAATTTTAATTATTTTTTTAGAATTTAGTTAGTTAAATTATATTCCTTTTTCTTTAATTTTGATTTTTCTATGCACAAAATTTTTGTATCACATCAATCTTTCTGAACGACCTATTTCATTGTATTACATTAACTTTGCCATTGTAGATAAGAAGTAATATTTAATTAACAGTGTCACCTATCAGATAACATAGAATATTAAAAACAAAATTAGAACATAACTTTTTGTTTTATAATTCATTGAATCATTTTCAACTCAATTGTATATACATATGGATAATCATATTCCTGTATTTCATATTATTCATTCTATAAATGAAACAACATTCTTTGAAACTGATCATTAGATTGAATTTTAGTATACAAGCTTATTTGCTTGTATATTGGATGTTATGATATTTTAATTTTTTTTTATTTATAAATATACATAATATTTTATATTTTAAATACAAATAAAAATTTAAATCTAATATCTTTTTAAAAGGAAAAAGTCATTGATGTTGAGATATTTTAGATATTCAATTTTAGATTTAGTAGATTTATATTTAAATTTGATCTTATCTATATATTAGATTACTTAAATTTGAGTCTATCGAGTCCGTTTTGTATTGCCTATATATAGGCTTCTTATTTTAATGATCAATAATACAATCTCATTATTTTCCCCCAGAATTTCTAACATGGTATCAGAGCACGGTTTTCTAAAACCAAAACCCTAGTCGCCGCCGCCGATGTTCGCCGTCCATCGTCCGCCTTCTCCGGCCGTCGTTTATCGGTCGCCGCCTCCTGCTTTGGTTCCCTACGTCGTGGTGTGGTTGGCTTTTTCATCGGAGTTGATTTCGTTTTGCGACTGTTACCAATTGGATATTCGATCTACTTTCTTGATTTGGGCTTTGATTTCGTGATTCACATATTTTTATACTTTTTTTTTTTGCTATAAAGCGTATGGATGTTCATTTACCTATTACTACTATCTTGTCTTCCTGTCCTTAAATGTTCCAACAGAATAAGCGGGCAGAACACAAACATCGTCACATTCTCGATATTGTTTGTGCCCTCCTTCTTTTTTGCTAAGTGTCCTAATCGTTTTTGGAGGGAAGTAGCCTTAACTGCTGTTTACAACATTAATCAGTTACCCTCGTTAGTCCTCCATGATGTCAGTCCCTTTGAGTGTCTATTTGGTCAGTCCCATGATTATAGTTTGTTCCATCTATTTGGTTGTGTGTATTTTGTTCCCCTCCCTCCTCATGAGCGGACAAAGCTTCAACCTCGAGCTCGTTTATGTTGTTTCTTGGGTTATGGCGACGAACACAAGGGTTATAGATGTTAGGATCCTATTTCTAATCGGTTGCGCATATCTCATTATGTCACATTTTGGGATCACACCTATTTCTCCACCTTATCCAAGTTTAGCACACCGTTTCACTCATCTTCTCCCTTCTTTTCGTCTTTTCTCTCTCTGATCTCTTCCCAGACACCTCTTCATCTTCTTAACCACAACTCATTGATCAATCTGTCTTGTCATCGTCTCTTGGAGTTGATCCGCCTGCGTCTCTTGAGCCGACGTCTACTCCTACGCCTCTCCCTACTTGTCGTCGCTCCATTCGTGTAAGTAAACCTCCTTCTCACCTTAATGATTACCATTGTTACTCTACCATTTTATCTCAACATGAACCTAGGTCATTTCGTGAGGTGAATGCTGATCCATTATGGCAGCAAGCTATGACTAAGGAATTGCAGGCTCTGGAAAAGACTCACACTTGGGATTTAGTGTATTTTTCCTCTGGAAAAACCCCTATTGGGTGCAAGTGGATTTTTAAAATTAGGACACACTATGATGGTTCCATTGAGCACTACAAGGCTCGTCTAGTGGCCAAAAGTTATTCCCAAGAGTATGGAATTGACTATGATGAGACCTTTGCTCTCGTTGCTCGTCTCACTACTGCTTATTGTCTTCTTGTTGTTGCGGTTGTTCGTCAGTGGTCCCTTATTCAGTTAGATGTCAAGGATGTATTCCTACATGACACACTTTTTGAAGAAGTTTATATGACCCCTCCTTTAGGTTTCTCGTCTTTTGGAAAAGTTTGTCGCTTATGCTGTACTTTATACGGGTTGAAGCAGGCCCCTCGGGCTTAGTATGTCACATTCAGCAGCGCTGCATTATTGGAGTTTGATTTTACCACATGTGCTTACGACTCTGGTTCATTTCTTCGTCGTTCTTCATTTGGGATAGTTATACTCTTGCTTTATGTTGATGATATAATCATCATGGGATATGATGCATCTGGTATTTCTGATCTACATGCATATCTTAGCCAGCAGTTTGAGATGAAGAGCTTGGGTCCCCTTCGTTACCTTTTAGGGCTTGAAGTCTCTGATTCTCCCGATGCTTTCTTTTTGTCCCAGGCTAAGTATGCCTCCGACCTTCTTGCTCGAGCTGGTCTCACGGACTGTCAGGTAGTATCTACACCACTTGCCTACGAAGTTCGACTTACCCCTCATGATGGCTCTCTTCTTGATGATCCTACCATTTACCGTCAGCTTGTTGGGAGCTTGATCTATTTGACTGTCACTCGACCAGATATCTCTCATGCAGTCTATATTGTGAGTCAGTTCATGACAGCTCCGAGGACCTCTCACCACTTTTCCGTCTTATATATTCATCGTTATGTGAAAGGTACTCTTCTGCACAGCTTACATTTCTCCTCTAACTCGTCTTTGACTCTCAGCGGTTACTCTGATGCTGATTGGGCTGGTGATCCCACCGATCGTTGCTCGACCACTGATTTATGCTTCTTCCTGGGTGATTCTCTCATTTCTTGGCGCAACAAGAAGCAAACTTTAGTTTCTCGCTCGAGTGCCGAGTCAGAGTATCGTGCTCTTGATGACTTTACTTGAGAACTTTTATGGCTTCGACGGCTACTCACTGATCTTGGTGCCCTTCAGCCATCTTCTATGGCTCTTCACTATGATAGTTAGGGTGCTATCACTACAAAAAAAAAATTGTATTTTACTCACGGAAATTACTCACGGAAATCCAAGAGTAATCATGAAAAATCCGTGAGTAATAAATTTACTCACGGCATTATTCACAAAATTTCGTCCGTGAATAATCTATTACTAAATACTTTGTAAGTAATTTCTCACTAGGAAAATCCATGAATAATTCCGTAAGTAGATTATTCACAACATTACTCACGTTCTGTCCGTGAGAAATTTGCTCACATAATTATTCATACACTTTGTCCGTAAGTAAATTTACTCACAAAACAAATTATGTGAGTAATTCCGTGAGTAAAACTCAACAAAACTCTCCTATATGTGACAGAATATTCCATGAGTAATTACTCACAAAATTTTTCCTATTGCAATTTTATGTTTCAGACAATAATTTTCGTGAGTAATTTTTCTGACCCGTAAAAATTATATTTTGATTTATCCGTACCTGTCCCAAATCATATATTTCGACATCACATCCAAACCAAAAAGTAAATCATACCAAGCCAAATATCCAATAAACAAAATACGATCGAATCACACGATATTTTTAAACATAGTTCTGTAATCGATGGATATCATAAAAAACAGTAAATAGAACCGTATATTTTAAAATAGTAGAATACATAAATTATTAAAGTTCAAATACTTAGTACAAAAAAAAAAAAAAAACATGTGGCGCACCAGATTTGCCATTGAGGTCGCGGCGGTCTGGTCGGGCGTTCATCCTTTCGAGCTATTGATCGTCAGGGCATAATTTTTGAAATGATCAAATTGTTCCTCCAAGCGCGCTAGCCGACCATCAGTCCTAGATGCGCTTCTTATGTGCCTCATGATTCACCAGATCATAATACTTAGCTACGAATTCTCATAAAAATAAAATTAAATACATCTAAATCCCAACTCTAGTTCCAGCAGAAACTATATGAACAATTGCAAGAGACAACATAGCTGCCACTACCAACAACGTATTCCACAACAGAATTACAACCAGGAGCAAGACGCCACTTAATCTGTAGGAAGCATGAACTAGTAATCAACACATTGGATAATAGATTCAGTCCACATGGTAGAAATAAAGAAACCAAGCAACACAAACACTGTTAGGTATCTTTCAACTTCTAAAACTTGGCCCAAATACAAATATGAAACCAATAAATGCTGGCAACTGATTTGTATTTCAATTAAAAAAATGAAAGTCCAATTTGGTAAACATTTTCGACAAATAATAGCATCACCATAAAATTAAGTTCACCAAACTATATGAAGAACTTCACATATAATTTTTGTAACTAACAGAAAACAATACAAATATATCGTAACAAATGGGTCGAGGACATTAAAATGAACAAATATACAGGATTTGATGCATCTTCCTAACTTATAGACTAAGGCATCATCACATGTGATTCTTATCATAGCGATAGAGTTTTTAAGAATGTATCCGGCCTTCCAATCTAAAACCAATTGGTGATAGGTGGAGTGGCTCTTCACCCTTATATAATAGGGGAGTTCCCACATATTTAGCAATGTGGGACAATATTCAACAAGAATCAGTGACAGAAGAGTATTAGAAGCACTTAAAACAAAGAAATGAAGTCCAAGAGAAGCCTCAACGTGTAGCACAAGTACACATCTACACTTGCTCAAATATTACAGGCTTCTCTCATGCACCTTTACAATAAATAGAAATAGAAACTCTATAGCATGCCTATGTCCTTACTAGTCAACTATATGCAGACTTGAAAAACAAATCAAGTATAATTGAATCATTAAAAAATGCAAGCAGAGAATAATCAGTTTGGATTACAACAACATAAATTATTTCATTTGAACGAAAGAGGAAAACCTCTACAGTATAGAAGATGAAATTCATTCAAATACAGTGTACAATTTCAAGAAAGGAAGTCAACCTTGCGGCTGTCCTCAACATAAGATCTAAGAAGATAACGGTGATACTTTTCCTTACCTTCATTAGATGAGAGTTTATCAATCATATCTTGGCCAACAGAAGCACCATAGGAAGGATCAGGATACCTCAGCATCAAGCATCCAGGGCCATCATTGATGGATGTACTAATGTAAGCTAAAAGAACAAACAGGTACAACAAATTAGCTATAGCCAACTTTTAGAATTGAAACATAGGTATTACCAAGTAGCAAAAATAAGCAGCTTAAAAAATGAGAGACATCAAGATTAAAATCATAATAATTGGTACATTTTTTCACATACACATAACGAAATCATAATTTTCTATACATCATTTCACAATACCCACAATGAATCAATTCTTCAAGAAGGCCAAAAACATGCCCAAAACAAAAAACTAACAAAAACAACAAAACACAACTACTTAGATCATTAGATTTTGTTTTTCAGAAAATAGCTCTACCTACCTACAATTTTTTAAGGACTTCTAAGTTCTTGAATGGAAACTCACAAACATTCATGCCTGATGTTCATGTATAACTAACTGTATAACTCATCATTCATATGATCCATCACAGTCTAAACAGATTAATAGTTATAGTTTATTGGAAATTTAAAGAAAATGGAAAAAGGCAAGTTAGATTAACGGTATAAAAGAATTCATTAATTAAATTATGGCCAAGAAAATTAGTTAAATTCCATGATCAAGAACAACAAAAGAACTAATTGATTAAATCAAGTAATGTGAGTCAATGGAAATAAATGCATATTAATTAATTAATTAATTATCTCAAAGATGAACTAGATTTATATAACATATATTAAAATTAAAATTGGGATCATATATAATTCATTTCTTTAGCTCTGCATTCACTTGCTACTTCCGTAGAAATGCAAATCAAGAGAAATCATGAATGTGTTGAATTAGAATACACAAACCCAACAGATAAAACAAAAGCTTGAAATTAAAGATGATCGATGGGATAGAAAAGAAGAAAGGGATCAGAGAACTCACAGCCATATCCATATGCGATTTCATCTTATTGAGATGCTGAGTTTGTTCTTCACATAAGCTATTTTCAAGACACCCCTGATTTTGAATTGGGATAAATTTGAAATTTAGCTCAAGGAATCCTAATCAATGAGGGTTCATATAGTCTACAATCATCATCAGGCAAGATACCTAAACAATCAAGGAAAGAAAAGCTCAAAATCACAAAACATCAGAACAATGATGAAGATAATAAGTATAGAGAGAGAGAAAAAAAAAAGAAAAAAGAAGAGCATGAAAGTAATTTCACAATTTAAACAATATTGAGTATAAGAGAATGAAACTGTTTCTACCAAATTTCTAAAGATCACATATCAATCACCCTAAGAACAATTTGATCTTACATGGCTGCTGGTATAAACTTCACATAAATGAATGAGAGACAAGCCTTAAAGCATGCTGAAGAAAGATCAAAGTAAACAATATATTAAAATTTGCCGGCGACAATTATCACAAACTAAAGTCATCCCCAGTGCATAGCCAAAGAAATCCTATTTCAATAAGGTAGATAAACCAGAGTGTATAATAATTAGTAAACAAAACAAGTATAGGGCATAATGAACAAGAACAGAGATGTTAACTTCAAACACAATTAAACATGAATACTATAAAGCACAATCTTCTGTAAGTGATAAGTGAAATAAAAACTACCCAAGAGGGTACTTTGCTGCTTGGTTGGTGCTATAAATACTCTGAGATTCTTAGCAGACATTAAATTAAATACTACGAATAGAAGTACTTGCTAGAAAAGCTTACATCTATAGATACAAATCAATACTGACTCACTTTGTCATGAGGTTTTGCAAATCTGAATCATTGGCAATTTGTATTTTTTACAATTGTAACCAAATTAATAGTGCAAAAACTAAGCATAAACATCTCTGATGCAAGGTTAGAAATTGTGAATAAAATATGAAATCTCTCTTCCTATAGTCATGCATTCAAACAACTAGAGCAAGAAACTAAACTAGTTAGCTTTCTTTTTCAGGAATTCCAAAATATCTAGCAAGAAGAGAGATAACAAACGTAGTGTGAGGTGGAGACTTGAGAACCTTCGTACAGAAGTAACAAAAACTTACTTTTTAGAAGCAAACAGCTTCTTAAGTGAAACTTTATCCCAAAGATCTATCTGCAGATGACAAAAAAGGAACCAAAAATGAGCTTCAAAACATCTTCATATAGAAAAATAAAAACCACAATGCTTAATACAAGATACAAACACATCATAACTTAAATGAAACATTTTTACTTTAAATAAGCAAAGTAAGTAACAAATATGTAAATAGATGGAAAACAGGATAGCATGCTAAAAAATTTAAAGAAACTTATTATATAGATTACATACTCTTCAGTTCATAGTAAAAGGGAATGAGATAACAATGAAATCACTAAAACAAATTACAGAAACTTACTATATGTAAACTACGAAGCAAACTGGTGTGTTGATCAGCTATAGAAGTGATTCGCCCACTAGCAGATGGGATAAAGGCTCCATTTAGTGCATTCAAGCACTCCATATTAGTTTAGGATATACTAATCGAATATCGAATATTGAAGTTTTGAACCATGAATGTCATTAGCAGCAACCAATTTTTTCGAAAAATACAATATTAATCAGGACCACCAAACAAACTAATAGTGCCCTAAATCAGATTACTTCACACATCCGTATAAGCCATCATTTAGATCTTTAAAGATAGAAATTTACCTAGGAGAAGTTGCCGCCGTCGTGGAAGTCGCAGCCGTTGTGGAAAAGGAAAAGGGGCAGGGTTTTTCACCAATTGACCAGACTGTGCGTCGCCGTGGTTGTGGAAAAGAAAAACGGGTAGGGTTTTAAATTTTTTAGTAATTACTCACGGAAATTTAATTTTATGAGTAATATCGCGAGTGAATTTCAATTTTTTTTTTATGAATTACTCACAAATGAAATTATTAGTGTGTATTATGTGAGTAATAACTCACGGAATAGATTATGTGAGTAATTCCATAAATATTCATTTGCAATTACTCACAGAATGAATTTCATGAGTAATTTTTGTAAATAAAATACAATTTTTTTGTAGTGTATGAAGATAACCCATAATGATACATTCCACGAGCGCACCAACCATATTGCGTTTGGCTGTCACTTCATTCGACAACATGCTGTCAATGGAGTAGTTCATCTCATTCCAGTATCATCTGAAGATCAGACAACAGATATCTTCACCAAATCTCTTCTTCCAGGCCGCTTCCGATTACTCTTGAACAAACTCAAGTTGGTCTCTACTGCCCTATCTTGTGTTTGAGAGGGATGTTGAGATATTTTAGATATTCGGTTTTAAATTCAGTAGATTTATATTTAGATTTGATATTATTCATAGATTGGATTACTTAGATTTGAGTCTATCGAGTTTGTTTTGTATTGCCTATATATATAGACTCCTTATTTTAATATCAATAATACAATCTCATTATTTTTTCCCAAAATTTCTAACAATAGACATAAAAATACACAAGATATAAAAAATTATTCAACAAATATTATTGTTATTTTATTTTATTGTTTTATTTTTTCTTTAAATAATAATTTAAACGATGCTTTGTTAAAATAATAATACATTTACATTGAAACATGAAGAACTTTAAAAAAAAAAAACACACACGCATAAAAGAATTAAATATGGATGTATTAAATAATTTATTAGAAAAATAAAAATACATTGGTGTGTTTGTTTGGGGGTTTGGATTTTATGTTGTGATTTGAATAATAAAAATTTTGAATTTGAATAGTTGTATGATGTGATATAAATAGGTGTTGATGTGATGTTTTGAATGTAAAATTGATTTTTAGTATAATATAAAAAATAAAAAATAAATGTTTGATTTGATGTTTTTAGGAAAAAAAAATTGGATGAATAATGTAAATCCAGTCCAATCCAATCCCCCAAACAAACACACTCTAGACATAATCAATTATATATTTATTATATCTTAGGTTACAAGTTTCATATTCCTTGATTAATGTTTTAAAATTAATTATCTTTATTAAATAATGCATTTACCACCCACCCATTAATTCTTAGAAAAATAAACGTATTATTGTTCCAACTCTATAAATAGACTTCGAAAATGCTAAACTTTAACCAAACCAAAATTCTCTATATTTTTATTATTACTATTATTCTTGAAGAATGGGCTTCTTCAAATTAATCCCAATAATATTTCTCATAATTTCAATTGCATGTGCACACAGTGTTTCTGTCACTTCTTTCAACCCATTTTTCCATCTTAGTATGTACATAATTTTATTTTAAATTAGGGTTTAGTTTGTCCTATGTTTATCAATTTATGCATATTTTTTTTCCTTTTTATATATGGGAATTTATTGAATGTGTATTTGATTTGATTTGAAGTAATTTAAATGTCGTACTTTTTCATGAGATTACACGATGAAGACATCATATTTATTGCACAACTCAATATATATCTTTCTCATTTTAGTTTTATTTTCAATTATATACATATATATATTGAGTTATTATTTTGTGAATGTTTTATCTAAAAGAACTGTTATTGTGAATGTTAAGTAAGTATTAATTATGTTGATAAGTACTTGTTGATCAAAGGCCATTAGTATGGAACTCTCATTCTTTCAAGCAAAAAATAATAATAATAATAATAATAATAATAATAATAATAATAATAATAATAATTTAAAAAATATATATTGAGAAAGTCAATCCAAATGAAATTTAATTTAGGTATGAATTTATCGATGTATTCCATTTCTACAATTTTGTATCGATTAACTAAAAGAGTGACTTCGAGTTTGTTCATATAGTGTTTTTATATGATGAATTTGTTTTTTTTATGTCAATCATAAGGATCGTATCGGTAAATGTAAAAAATAATATTTTGTATTAAGTTGTTGATTTTTGTGAATAGATAAAATATATATATATTATATTGTACTAATATGAATGAATATATGTTTTACTTTTTTATAAAATTTATAGAAACTCCTATCAATAAAAAAATGTTGGGCAAATAAACCCTTAATATTATTATTATTATTATTATTATTATTATTATCTAATTTGGTTGTTTTATAGAATCAAATAATGATTGTTCATGCAAATTTATGGAGTAATATTTATTTAAAAATGCAGCAACAAGAAAAAGAGAAGATTCGCCTGGACAATGCTTCTGGAAGGCTAAAGGAGAGAAGGACCGAGGAGATGAATGGTGCGACGCCACGTGTCACAAGCCGGGTTTGGGCGTCTGTGATTGGTGGCCTTCCTCGGGACTCACCAAAGGCCAATGCTGGTGTTATGATAAGCTCTAGTAGTATAAAATATAAATATAAGTAGAAATAATGCCCGTGGCACGCACGCTACCATTAAAAAACAAATATAATAATAATAATAATAATAAATAATTGTAATGTTATTGTTAATCCTGTATATCAATTTATATTTAACTTTTAAAAAATATAATATATGTTAGTTTATTGTTTTTAAATGAATTTATTTTATTTTATTTTATTTTATTTTTTTTTTTGTGATATAAGAAATTGTATTGAAAATATAAAAACATTATTTTAAATTAAATACTTTTACTTTTATAATGAATAGTTAATTTTTCTCTTATTTTTTTAGAACATTGAATTATTGACTTTTGAATTGTTGATTATTTATTTCATTTGACTTTTTTTTATATGCACTTGAATTAGTATTTTTTTAGATTTGCTTAAATATTGAATTTTATTTATGTAAAATGGCAAGTTCTTGCTGAAGAGACTAAAAGTTACATTGTAGCAATACGGAGAAAAATATTGTTACTAAATATATGTAGTATTGAAAATCGAGATGTTTAAACTCGAATTTTTTTAATTAGATTTGTTATCTGATTTCGAATTGAAGCATCTTAATGAGATCAACAACCAAAAACTGATTATTTATAAAACAAGAAAATGATCAAACATATGTGATTAGAAAAAATATATATTTACATATCAGTACCTGAAAGAAAATATTTCGTCAAAAAAAGTAAAAATAAGATTTTGGTTGACCATCAATTTTCTTTTCAAATCTAAGCCGACAAGGCATAGGATCTTTTAAATTCGGCACAATAGTGTCTTTTTCAAAGCAAAATAATTTTATAGTTTTCAACAAATCATGTCAACCATCTTCCATGTACAATTTTAAATCATCTTTCAATGTTCTAATCAAAGTTACTTCATTACCAATGTCTGAATTTTTCTTGAAGGGCCACCAAAAATTTACTTATTTTTACTAGCAATTTCAACATAAAATGAGTAATAAAAATAAATTCAAAACTTTTTATTTTACTAATTAAATCCATTGTAAGCTTTTTTTATCTGAGTGACACTCTGAAATAATAGCCCTTATGATTCCGATTTATTGCATTTTACATCTTTAAATTTTGGTTTTATGTCCTATAGTGAGACCTCTAACGAGTATCACCAGGATGAGCTACACTTATTTTTTTTTTATTTTCACATTTTTTTCTTTACCAACTTCACCACAGTTCAATGATATCCCTTCTTTTACATTAAGCTAACAATGTTCAGAAAATGGATAGCAAAAAATTGAATAAGAGAGCATAGTGCAACAATGAAAATTGAAGAATGAGATCACTTAGGCTTCAATATCGCAGGAAGAAGAGGGCACCTGTCGTGAAAGATAATTATATTTAGATTTAGAAATTAGAATATCAAATAATTAAAAAAAAAATGAAATTCATATGAGTTGAAATTAAAAAATTTAGGATAGGCTAAAAGCTTAAAAATCTAAAATAAACTAATTGCCCAAATGTCCATCCGCCGGATACATATATATATATATATATATTCCGAATTGGAGTCTAATTTAAATAATATTTGTTAAAATATAAAATTGAAATTTTCTATTTTAATCATAAAAGTACGTACATATTTATAGTGATATTGGTCTAAATAAGATAAGAATTCTAAGAATCTCTTAAATAAGATAATTACCATAAATATAATATATTACTTCTAAATATATTTTAACAATATTTATTCATTTTGTATTTGATTATAAATATATGTTTTATGTTACATATGAAAAATTATGTCAGTAATATAAAAATCAATATATTGTACTCCCTTCGTCTCATATCTATATATTCATTTACTTTTTACACGGAATTTTAGGAATATTAATATTATATTGGAATATAGTATAAGTAAAGGTAAAAAGACTAAATTGCCCTTATTAGTATTGTATGATATAAAGGTAATGACATTTGTGTAATATATTATAAATTGGAAGGGTATTTGTAAGGTTAGATAGATAGTACATAAGAAATGGATACTTTGTTATGAGATGGACAAAAATGAAAAAAATAGATAGATTGTAAAGGAACGGAGGGAGTATTAAATTATTTATTTTTTGTGAGTGAAAAAATGTATATTTTATATGGAGTATATTGTGTTAATGTATATATATTTTATATATTTTTTTATAATATATATAGAAAAATATGGCAATAAAAAATACAATGTGAACAAACCCTTATTTTTATTAAAAGTTTAGGGTGTGTTTCTTGGGGTTTGATTTGACAGCATTTAGTTTGAATTTGATAGTAAAACAATACCCGAGAAATATTTACAATAAGAAATATATAGTATATTTTTGAAAATAGAAATTTCAAATAATAAAATTTGAGAAATATACGCTAAAGAATTAAATTTAATTTTGTTATTTGGTTAGGTGTTTAATTTTATAGATTTATACTCCTTCCGTCTCTTGTCATATGAATTCTTTGGGATTTTGTCGTAGATTAAAAAATAATTATATTTTATTTATTAGTGAAAATATGTAAAAAAAAAAAATTGACATTTTTGCCCTTTCACTTTATGTATAAAATAATTATATGTAATTGTGTGTTTGTAATTTAAGTAAAAATTAAAAGTATTTTGGTATTATTGTATAATTACTTTTTTTAAAATTAGGACAGACAAAAATAATAAAAAAGGTACTTTAAATTGAAATAGAAGGGAGTATATTTCTGGCTCAAATCTGACCAAATGTTAAATTTAATCAATGATAAAAAAAAAAAAAAAAAAAAAAAAAAAATTCATCCCAATTGTCTATTAAAGGAGTCTAAAATAATTTTAATAAGTCTTTTCTTTAGCAAAAATTATATAATATTTTTTGTATTTTATTAAAAATACACAAAATACTTCGTATATTATTTATTAAGTGAAATCATCTTATACTAAATTAAAGTAAAACATGGTTCGTCGACGGCGGATTCACAGATTATTAAAAAAAATGCACAAAATATTATTTTAGTCCAAAACTAATATTGTAAACACACATTTAATTATAAAAATTTGATTAGGATAAAAAGATAAAATATCTTATATAATATTTTTTTTAATAAATAATATTATCTATATCATCATATAAATTGTTTCTAAAAGAATATATATATATATTTTTTTTATGACGTGGAAATCGGCAACCGTCCAAAAGTGCGTACTGGATAAATTCTAACAGAACCCAATATTCTGTAAACTAGACTCGACAAAGTAAGATAAACTAGGCGAAAGTAATTTGAATGTGTTATATATATATTTACTTTAGACCACTAGATAGATAGATATACTATCTTTAGGATAACAATTGATCAGACAGAGCTCAGGGTCAATCGAACCCGATACACATTCCGAATATATATAGGGCGTGTTTGGCAATTAGCTGATAGTTATTAGCTAATTATGATTCAATTAACTGATAACTGATTCAATTAGCTAATTTGACTATCTGATTCGATTAGCTGTTTGTATTAAAATGTTTGGCAAAACAATGATATTAGCTGTTTATACATAAAATGATAATTGAGGATATTTCTATTTTATTTTTGTTTCTAATATATTCAATTATGTTCTTTTAGTTTAGAATGTTTAAAATTTTTTGTTATTAGTTATTGAAAATTGTAAAAGTGTTATAAAAATATTTATTTTTATTACTTAGATTTAAAAAATAATATATTTTAATTAAAATATATAAATAATTTTTTTCTATTGAAAATGATGTAAAATATAAAATAATAAATTTTTCGTTTATAAATTTATTATGTTAGTTATTGATTAGTTTATTATATTTATAATTTTCAATAAATTTAATTTATTTTTAGTATAAAATTTATATAATGTAATTTTAATATAAAAATAAATTATTTATATTTATATTTTCTATTTTATGTTGATTTTAATAAATTTATATATTTTATAATTAAAATAATTTTTATGTAAAAAATAATTATTTTAAATTAATAAAAGTAAAACTATAATATAATAAAATATTCTAATATAATTAATAAATAATCAAAATATATAATAAATTTTTAAGGGCATAAAGAAAAAACTATTTAGTTAACTTTTCATACATTAACTTTTTGCGTAAAAAAACTATTCCAAAAAACTAATTTACCAAACACTAAATTAACTTTTTAACTGGTCAAACAGGTCAAAGCTATTCAATAAGCTAAAACTCTTAAAAATGCTATTTGCCAAACACCATGTACAGACTCAAGATCTAAAGCAAATCTTATAATACCCAAACCTAACTATATACCCGGATCCAACCCAAAATATGCCCAATAAGACCCGATGAATTTGACACACTCACGATACTTTCGTAAGTTTAACAAATTTAACTCAAAATTGAACTTAACCCAATATTCAAACATATATTAAAATTTATGTATTGTATTAAAAATATTATAATAAAATTCTAATAAATAAATCAAACCAAAAATATATATATATCTTAATATAATTATATATTTTTTAAAAAAATTAAAAAAATATATATAATTAATATATTATTGATATATTAGTCCGAGTTAGATGCAGGTCTGTATTGGCTCCACATTACACCCTGGATCCAACCCTGACCTGATTAGGGTATACAAAATCCTAGCTATACCCAATCCTATACTCGAATAATTGATTCCGACCTCAAATAAATAGATCGGGTCGGGTGGAGTATACTCATTGTCATCCTCGACTATCTTTCAATTCATCTGATTCTGCATATCTATCTATCTATCTATCTACATCCAAACACACCAAACAATCCCACCCAATTAAATGGCTGCCTCAAAGGGAAATATATACATTTTGGTTAAGTCAAGTTCTTCAATTAAGAAAGAAAATTTTCGAATTATCCCTTGTCCTTGCTTCATCAAAGTTATAATCCCCCAATAATAACTTTGGATCCCCCCAAATAATAACTATAACTGTAAAAATAATAATCATCATAATCATCATCTAATACTAATACCCCACTCCCTCCCTATTCACAAATTTAGCAAGCTAACTAATCAAAATTGGAATATTGGGTTGATCTATACGGTGCTTGTCGCTATTTACATACCGTTGTGTACGGTTTTGCCCATGTAGTGTAGTATTCCAATCCACTTTCTGGAGTGCCACTTAGTCTTAGAGCATTGAACAATCGAATCTTGGCTTGGCTGGTTCAACACGGCTCTGTAAAAGATTATGAAACCACATCACACGTAACGTTAGTTATATATTGAGAATTCGAACATGGAAAGACAATTGAGCAATTACATGTTTGCCTATATAGATAAAAAGATTGAAAACATCTCTACCAGAAACTCTTCTCTAATTGTGTGTCCAAGTATGCAATCTACAATAAATAATAGCATCATATTTACCACTCGTTTTCCATTCCAAGAAAATTCAAATTCAAAACAAACCAAACCAAACCAAAAACACCCAAAACTTACACCCTAAGGTTTTTTTTTTTTTTTTTTTTTTGTTGCGTATTTCACAAATAAATTGACAGTTTAACATTGTTTGAAGCTAGCTACCTTCTGCTCAAATGTATATGCAAATTCAAGTTTATATACAATCATAAAATTTTATATAAGTCACTTATACCATCCAATGAATCCCACTCTAAAATCCTGTAAACATGTTATATCCCAAACAGACTTTGAAAATGGGTTAGAAACTACTAAATACCTCCGAAGTAGTTGTCAGCCATATATAGGTGTGTTCCAAGCCGGTGAGCTTTAGATACTTCTTCAGTATGTAGCCCATTCGGAGGGAAGGACATCAAGTCGGAAGTATTTACCACAAGGCAATAATGAGTCATCCACATTAAGCCTCACAGGAAATGCTATCCTGTCTGTTGGTCGGCTAGGACTTGCAATGTATCAGCAACTCCCTCCTCATTGATCAACTTTTTTGTTTTGGATAATTCCCTTGCCATTATCACATGTGTCGGCATACTAATAGGGATGCTCTTAGACTTCATCACGTCAAAAAGATTTAAGCACGCTTTAGATTCACCCTTCTTGAGTAGGCCATCAATCAAGACAGTCCAAACAATCTCGTCACTGTTCCATTGTTTCTTAAGCATGTCTATGAACACCTGCTCGGCCTCTTGTGTTCGTTTTCCCTTGTATAGTCCACACACGACCGCAGCATAAATTGACAATGGGAGCTTGAAACCTCTTCCAGTTAGCAAATTCAGCATATCTAAAGCATCATCAACTCTCAAATCATTACAATAAGCAGTGAGGAGGGAGCAATATATTGCCTCATTGGGGCATACTCCTTTCTGCTCCATATACTTGACCAATTCATCTGCCTTGTAGCTTTTCCCACTGCGGCACAATTGAGCAATTAAGGTGCAATATGTATCGATAGAGGGTTCACAGCCCATCTCCGACATTTTAACTAAGAGTTGGGTTAAGGTATCAAACGTAAATTGTTCCTCTTGTAAAGTATGACAATGTACGGTTTGGTGCTGGACAGCAATCTTTCCGGCAATCATCTGGCAGTCCTTTTGCAGTCCTTTCTGCAAGACACAAAACGTCCGATAATTTGGATGGCATCCTGCATGTATCATTCTCTGCAGCAATAAAAATGCATCATCTGTTCGTCCGAGAGATACAAACCCCTCCATCAACAAGGTATATGTGACCTCATCTGGATGCAAATTTCTGCTCATCATTTCTTCGAACAAGACCATGGCATCATCAACCCGGCCTTCCTGACATAGACCGTACATCAATGAGCTATAGGTATACAAGTTTGGCAAGCAATTCTTGTTCTGCATTATGTGGAAAATTTTGAAAGCCACATTTGTTCCACCATTTCTGCACAGCCCGTCAATTAATGTTGTGTACGTAATGACATTAGGAAGCAGCCCACTTTCTACAATCTTATCACATAGTTTCTCTGCTTCAGGTAACCTAATATGTTTAGAGAAACCATTAAGAATCGCATTGTAAGTCTCGATACCTGGTCGACAACCGCTCTCCTGCATCTTCTGAAATATATCCAATGCTACATCAATGCTCCCTTTCTGGCATAGGCCACCAATCAATGATGTATAATTCACCAAATTTGGGCTCAAACCTTGCACCATCATTTCCTGAAACAGAGCATAGGCCTCATCGAGTTCACCCCCCTTGCAAAACCCTGTAACAAGCTCTGCATAAGTCGTTTCATCAGGCTTGCATCCATTTTCTTTCATAACCTCCATCAATCTCCTTCCATTGTCCAGGTAGCCACGTTTAACATATCCATTGATGAGCGTGTTATATGTAACCACATTTGGAGGTGGACCCAACTTCAACATGTCACCAAACAGAATCATTGCCCTTTCAACATTTCCGATTGCACACAAACCCTTTATCATGGCATTGTAAGTTTCACTCTTTGTCAAGTAACCGTGTTGCTCCATCCAATTGAAGATTCTATATGCAATATCCACTCTCCCTCTCTCACACAATTCATTTATCAGAGAATTATATGTGACCTTTGTAGGGACCAATCCATCCCTCAACATTTTGTGGTACAGCCCGGCTGCAATTTTAAACCAGCCGGATTTTGCCAAACCACTTATCAGAGCAGTATAGGTCTGCACATTGGGTTGGCAACCTCTCTCTTTCATGCTAGGAACAAGAGAGAGAGCATCATCTATACGCCTAATTGCAAGCAATGATGTGATGGGAACTGTGTAAGTATACACAGTTGGATTGATGCCACTCTCAATCATTTCTTCAATCAGCGACAAACCCATATCAACCTTCCCATCATCACATAATCCATTAACAAGAGTAGTATACGTCACTGCATTCGGATCAATCCCCTTGTTTACCATCTGATCAAATAGCTTGAATGCTTTATCCAAATCCAGGTTCCGGCAATGCCCGAGAATCAAGGAAGTGTAAGTGAACACATCCGGGGACAATTCGTACTGATATATCTGATCCAATATAGCCTTAGCCTCCTCAACTCTTCCCTTCTTACACAAAATATTTATCATGGTATTCAAACTCAATAGGTTGGGTCTGATCCCGCTGTTCAACAGTAGCCTATACACATCCCAAGCCCCATCCACCATACCAAACTTCCCTAACTGAATCAAAAGAGTGTTAAAAGTATACAAACTATATGAAAATCCTAACCTACTAATCTCACTCAAGAAATCAACAACTCCCCTAATCTCTCCCTCCTCCCTACATGATTTGATCATCAGAATCCTTACATGATCCGCCGGTGCGAAATTCTTATCCTTAACAAGCCTGTTCAGCATAGACTTATAACAGTTCATATCGTGTTTGTAGAGATACGTCTTAGAAATCCAATAGAAAAATCCCAGCACAGAATCGGTGCTGCTGTTGCGTCGGGATTCGATTATTCTCGCAACATGGTGGGGTTTCAGCTTCCGAGACAAGGATTTGAGCTCCGAGCTCTTCCACCAAGGCTCCTGCGGATTCGACAGTATGTTACACACTCTATTCACCAGATTTGAAACGCCGGGATTCTCCAGCTCCTGCCTCGAGGAATAATTGAGGTATCGACACCGACAGCGCGCAAATCGAAGAGTAGGAAATGAAAATGGATATGGAATTGGGATGGGTTTGAGGGGTTTTACCATTGCGAGAAACAGTGCCGCAGGTTGTGGCTGCGCGGCGGCGGCAGATATTCTGAGTGGCTAATACGGCGGGTGAGAATGGAATCGCCATAAACAGAGGAGCACGCAGTCGCACATTGACGTGGTAATGAGAAACCACAAATCGGCGAGAAATGTGAATCAATTTATGCAAGAGATGAGATGAGATGAGATGAGATGAGATTAGATTAGAATAGATTTTATTGCAAACAAAGTACCTAGGGTTTATGTGGGTGTTTTGTTTTGTTTGTAAGATGGGCAGGAAGAGGAACTGCGCAACGTGGAATTATTTTATGCCACTCCTGACTCTGGTATTATTATTAGTATTGTTAACATCTATTTTTAAGCATATACTTTCTCAAGTAAAAATTACTCTTTACGTTATAGAGTTTTTTTTTTTTCATCCTAAATAGTTTGTCAATTTTTTAGAAAAATATTAAATATTTTAAATTAGAAAAAATAAAAATTGATCCAAAAAAATTATCAATTTTTATTTCAATATAAAAAACTTATCAATATTAGTCATATTGTAAATAATTTTAATTAATTTTGATCTATCATTAAAATACTAATGAAATTTGTTAACGTGAACATAACGAGATCTGACATAGCATCTTACATGGATCTAAACGGTTGTGTTTAATGAAACATGATCGCATTTGTAACAAATCAACATCAAATCAAACAAACACGGCCATGGTTGCGTTTGAAATTTACACGGCCGGTAAAGTTCCGTTCTACTTTATTTCTCATTTGATCATCATCTCTCTTATTACAAAAGCATTGGACATCTTCCTCATCGTGCTTCTGAGTTCCCCAACCAATTATCGTCGCAAATTTGTGCACTTGATCTTTCTGATTTTGTGCGGAATTTTTTTTGGGAATGTGACGATGGGATATTGTTTGCTAGTCGTCAGAATCTTTCTCCAGCCGATATTCGTCGCTAGAGGACTCAGTTGCCGCCTTGCCGACGGAGAAGTTGAACATACAGAAGGCATGGCAAATGTGACATTGGGTATGCTCTTGTGATGGCGGTGGCGGTGCGGCTAGGGTGGCAGTGAGTATATATAGCTTGGCCGTCGTGGAGAAATAGGCCCCGTTGATGGGAGTAGTGATGAGGCTATTCGCCGTCGATTTCTTTCTGGTGGCAATCAGAAGCAGCATACCTTAGGAATTTCGGCGTGCCAAAATCTTCACCTAGTATGAATTCCTTGCATCCGTCGATGACGTGGCCATCAATTCTAGTGGCGTGAATTTTCATGGAGTCCCAATATCTGATTGAGGAATTGGTGTCCACGTTGGCATTCTCCATCGCGAGAAGTGGCTTTGATACTTGGGTGGGTCCTGATTTTGAGGAGGGCTAGGCTGATTTTGAGGAGGGCTAGGGTTCAGGCATATTTAGGGATTGAACGTGGCTAAAAGTTGAGGTGTTATCTTGAACAGCCATCCCTTCTTTCCTATGCTTTTGAATTACCTTGTTATCTTGTTCAATTGCTTTCCATGTCGATGTCATATCACAATCCAGAACGTGCATCTATAATTAATTAATGCTGGTAAAGAAATGAAATGAGAAATATGAAAATGGGATGAGAAAGAAGAACAAAACTTTACATGGCCATGTAAATTTCAAACACGGCCTTGTTTGTTTGGTTTGATGTTGATTTGTAACAAATACAGTCTTGTTTCGTTAAACGTGGTCGTATTAAGTCCAAATGAGATGTCATGTTGGGTACCGTTATGTTAACTCAACAAATTTTGTTATTTTATTTATTTATTTTTATTATGGTGAATCAAAATTGATTAAAATTATTTATAATGAGACTAAAATTAATGAATTTTTTATACTATGACCAAAATTGATAATTTTTGCTTTCAATTGGACCAATTTTGATTTTTTTCCCTTACATTTATTTACAAAAATGCCACAACTACTTACACTCAATCTATCACAAAAGAAATAATAATAATAAAATAATTCATTTATATATTTTCCAAAATACTTTCAACTTTATGTTACAATCAACAAATATAATATCATATTCATTAAAAATATGTGTCCAACTGAAATAAATATGTATTTTGTGAACTAAAAGGAGTATTATTTATTGCAAGTAACTATTGTACCACGATAAGAAAAGAAATTGATTTAACCGACTTTGAAATTTACTTATGTTTGAGTGTGTTTCTATTGGACATGGGTCAGAAGCACCTGAACATGAAGGACGTTCGAAGACAAAAACGCAGCAAAGGAGCCCTCGTCCGAGGAGCTGCCCAACAACAAGGAAGTTGTGGAGCAACCCAGCAGCAATGGAACCTCTAGTCCGGCTGCTCAGTAGCGAGGAGCTGTTAAGCCGCCCAGCAGCAAGGGAGCCTCCAGTCCGCGGAGCTACCTAGCAGCAAAGGAGTTGTAGATCCGCCCAACAGCATAGCCCAATGAAGGTTGATCATTTAAGACCCAATATAAACTTCCAAAGGCTTCGAGGACATAGTCCAAGCCCATGTTTGGCAGTTGAAGGAAGTGAAAACATATAACATAGAACACACACGACAACACACATTTCTTTTACAACTCTTAAAATAGCATAAAATTCCTCTATAGTTTGGTGAATTTGCTGAAGACCACTGTGGTCTGAAAATCCCATAAAACATACTTATAGTTTCTAAAATATTGCAAAAAATACTCCCACCGTTAATATTTAACGAAGATTGTATTGCACACACGATCACTGCGTGTATTATTGAAATTTTACATAATAAAAGAAGAAAAGTCACAAAATTACCCTTCATTCTTCAATAATTAACATAATTATCATTCCTTCTCCTCCTGCTCGTAAGTTTGGGGATTTTCCAGTCTCACTGGGTTTTCTTCATCTTTTGATGATAAGTCACGCTGTTTTGCTTTTCCTTATTCCATCCGCCGCCTCAGCCTCTTCTCTCCACCGCCCGCGCCGAGTCCGACCGCCACCAACATATTCTTTTTTTCGCCCAGGCCTAGAAACTAATCCGCTCGGGCTGCCAATCGAGATCTGCTGCAATTCCGCGTTGTTATGGGTCGGATTACGAGTTGGGTACGGTTTTCTCGAAATGGGACTGACAAGACCTCGCCTAAATGGAATTGGAAATATGCAGTGAGATATTTTTTGGGTGATTTTCAATACTTCTATTTTCAAGAAATTTATTTGATTTAATATTAACTGAAATTTATTGTTTCAATTCTATTCTTTTTTAATCCTCAATCGAGTTTGAGCATTAATTGATTATTCCTTCCGGAATTCTATTTTTTTTATGTTTTTGAGTTGAGGATAATCATACATGGTTATATATATATATGTGTGTGTGTGTGTCTATATGTGAGAGATGCAACTGAGACCGCCCATAAAATCATTCCAAGTATAAATGGTAAAGAATCTTGGTTAGCTGTTGTTATTGTTGTTTTTGTTATTATTTATATTATTTGTTTTGAATTGGGGGTTTATGATATGTTTTCCTAATTGAGATTACACCCAAATTTGATGTTACAATGCAATTGGAATAAGAAGTGAGTTGCAGAGAGCATTTTACACATAGAGATGGAGAAAAATAAATAAATAAATAAATAAATATATAGAGAGAGTTAGTGAGGGGAAGGAAAAAGAAGAATTAGATAGATAGCGAAAGAAGAAGAAGATGTGGAAAGGGGGAAGAAAAAGATAGGGAAAGGAGGGAAGAGAGAAGAAAAATGGATGGAGAAGAAGAAAATGGTGCAGGGAAGAACACATAATGTACATGGAGAAGAAAGGTAATTTAGAGAGGGGCATAATGGTCAATGTGTATAAAAGTTTAACACTGTTACTGTAATTTAAAAGGAGGGGGCGAATATGCAACATTTTAGAAACCATAAATAGGTTTTATGGAATTTTTGGACCATATGGGGTTTTCAGAAAGTTCACCAAACCACAAGGTGATTTTATGCTATTTTGTCAGATCTTAAGAGATTATCCAATTATGTTCTAATTCATGTTGTCTTTTGTCAATTTCTTGCTAATTTATGTTTCCAACATGTTTTTATCCGATTTCCAATAAATTTATCCGAGTTTTACTATATTTTAGTTTAACTTCATCGAAATCGGTCATTTACGCTTGAAGTCACGCAGGCTCCATCGCCGGAGCTGCTTACCAATTTGACAATGGACAGACTCTTTGGAGTACTTTCGGAACCCACACTGACAGAATTGACAAACGGTCTTGGAGTATCCAAATTTTAGGCTCCAACAATTGGCACGCTCAGTGGGATCAAAGTCATATTTTACGAAAAATAATGTCGGGACTTACATGGGGTTCATTTTTACCGTTGGAAGAATTATCACAGAACATCCTATGCATCAGGCCTCAAGGCCAGGGCAGGCAAGAGGCTGGACCCAACAGCTTGGGGAGGGCTGGAGCCTACAGGCTGCAGAGGGCTGAAGCCCATTGGCTGTTGGAGGTTTAGAGAGCAGTGTTGAGCCTCCACGAGAGGCAGACAAATTTACAGCATTTGACATGATCCCGCCATGGTGATTCGATGGACAACCAATATGGAATGCATAAACACTGCCATGGGGATGTCATGGTCCGTACGTGGCTAATTTCCAATGGATGAGGACCGTCAAAACATGGGGGCAAGGGGGCAGGCCACAAAGATGCAGCCGTCAACCTTCCATCAGTAGGCAACTGAAGTGCAACCGTTGCCACCAAATCAACATGAGACCAGGCCTCTAATGGACATTGATGTCATCACGGACTGCATAAGGACATTTTCGAAAAAAGGTTTGAAAAGAAGCCTAATGCCACTTTGAGCGCCGAAAATTCACCTTCAGACGATAAGGAGGCTGTAGGGGCACAGACTCCATAGACCATGGAGGCTCCGGGCAAAAAGGAGTCTGCAGGGACACAATCTTCAAAGGCCTTGGAGGCTCCATACGAAAAGGATGTTGCAAGGGCGGAGACTCCATAGGCCATGGAGGCTCCATATAAAAAGAAGGCTGCAAGGGCAGAGGCTCCATACAAAAAAGAGTCTACAAGGGCACAAGCTCTAGAAGCCTTGGAATATCCATACAAAAAGAAGCCTGCAAAGGCAGAAGCCCTAGCGGCTTCAGAAGAAAAGAGCTTTGTGGATGCATAAGTTTTGGCCACAAAATTAGCAAATGGAAAAAATTATTCGAATCCGGCCTTGGAGCTAACCAAAGGGTTTGTTCCTACTGTTAATACCATTTCGGCTAAAGGGCCTATGAGAGACGG